CCCCAAAACCCCAAAACCCCAAAACCCCAAAACCCCGAAGGTGGTATTAAAGGCTGACATCAATATTAAAATAATTTCGATATTAATAAAGGCATGTGAAAGAACATGTCACCTTGGTACCAACAGCTTCTTTAGAAGTCAGCTCTATCTTGCCTCCCAGCTTCTCACATAGTTTCTTACAAATTGTGAGGCCAAGCCCAGTGCCAGTCTTGTTCCTGTTATGATTTGAGCTGGTTTTGCCAAACAGCTTGAACAGAGATGAGAGATCTTTCTCAGGAATTCCAATTCCAGTATCTGTGACACTGAGCTCCACCTTAAGCTCTTTAGCAAAATCAGATGTCTTGGACTTATCAAGCTCTTGGGATATAACTCTTTCAGTTTCATCACTTTGGAAGGAGTCATCTTGAGCCATCCCATAAAACTTTGATGGGTTGGAAGCAAACTTATAATTATTGTTCATCAAGAGAAGGTTGCACACAGGCATTTCTTCAAAAGTTTCTGGTGAGCACATCTTTATTTCTTCATCTAAAAATTAAAACTAAAATACTCCAATCGGTTGCTTCCATTTGAAAGACTTTACTCTGCTGGATCTGGAGATCAACACTGATGGACCCATTGTCTGTGAACTTTAAGGAGTTAGACAACAAATTAAGCATAATCTGTTTGAGCCTGTCCTTGTCAGCCTTGACTTTAAGTTCTTGGAAGACATCTTCCATGTTGAAATTCAAGTGCACTCCTTTCATCCTGGTCTGCATTTCAAAGATGGAGTTTACTTCATCGAAGAGTTCTTTGAAACTAAATTCTGACTCCTGGATTTCAAACACCCCTGCTTCGATCTTGGAGAAATCTAGGATGTCTTCAACAAGGCCTTTCAGGATGTCTCATGACGAAGTGGCGATTTGGTGATACTTTGCTAACTCTTCGTTGATGTGAGGCTTCATCAAGTACAGAGACAACGACATCGCATTCAGAGGAGTCCTGAACTCATGCGATACGTTAGACAGCATCTGCTTCTGATAATTACTTTGTGCTTTGGCCTCTTCTAACTGGGTAATCTGGGTGGTATCGATAAACATTTGTAGAAAAGTATGGTGCTTGTCATGATCACCTCCCATATCAATCTTGGATGTTTTGATAACAATATCTTTATTCAAGAAATCTACGTTCTTTCTCATGTGCTTATTGTTATAAGAAATAGAAACTTTGGTGCTTCTGTCGTTGTCTTCTTCATGAAGGGTCAGCTCTCTTTCATCTTGAAGAAACCTAGTGAGTGGTATATCTTCATATTCTTCAATTTGGACATCAGAGTCCTCTCCTTTGCCTTCTTCTATCTTGCTTGCATTGACTCTTATAACGAAATTACTAAAGATATTATCCTTTAGTTTTAGAGGGTCTTCTAAACTCATAGAGTCTGTGGTTGTTTTGGTGTAAATAGCATCAAAAGACTCATCAACCATATTCTTGATCTCTTGCAATTTTAAAATTTCCTTGCTGGATTGGTAAAAGGAGGAGATATCAAAGGTTTGTTTGAGCTTCTTGTTAATGAGCTTCAGATCTTCCCCAGTCTGGTCCATAATAACAACACCTTCAGGTAATCCTTGAAGTACCCTTTTCAACTGTGAAGAAGCCTGCTTGGCCTGATGAGTGGAGATAAACTCTTGCTTGAACATTCTTGAAATCAGAAACGCGTTGAAGCCGAAAACTGTCAACGAAAATATAATCACCTGGAGAACTGAAGTCGGCACTTGGTCATAATGGACCTTCAACATGGCATATAAATTAGAGTAGACCATCAGTATAGCGACTGAGGATACCTTCCAGTCTGAAGCAAGGCATGTTGAGAGTAAGAAGGACACAGAGATGTGGAATAAGAATCCTTCATAGAGCCTATATTATGGTAAGAAAATTTAACAATAGAACATTTCATTACGATTTAGCTAATTCTTGAGTATGTAATTACCCCCATGCATTTAAAATTATCCCAAAGAAATTTTGTTATACCTTATCCGAATAAAAGCCTAATAAAGTCTTGAAAATTCTTGAATTAAAAAATAATGTACCCTTGAGTCTGAACCCAAAAATATAGAATTATTCCTTACCGAAATTGAGTGAACCGGAGGTTTACAATAGTCATCACCGCTCCGAACCAGAAGATCAAAAGTATGGCTCCATACCTCGCCATAAAGTTGCTCTTTCTTATAAAATATTTGAGCACAAACATCAGAGCAAACATCATGACTGGGCTGAGCTTTTTCAGATGGGTTCAATCTTCAGTATTTAACTGGAATACTATCGAAATAATTAAAAACTTTATTTTCAGTACAAACAGGATGAACTTCCAGTTAGTACGAAGTGTCTTCAGGCGATGCTCCTGGTACATCTGCTCGATCTTAGAGTCTTCAAAGTCGATTGAGTCGAAGACCCATCGACTCTGGAGCTCTTTCATTAGCCAGTTTTGCAGGATAATGTCTGTCCAGACAAAGTTAATTGTATCTTTGAGTTTTTCTTTTAACATATTGTTTTTAATAATATAAAATCCGAACTAATCTTCTTCTCATAAATTGGGGTTTTGGGGTTTTGGGGTTTTGGGGTTTTGGGGTTTTGGGG